ATTTTTAAATTTTTGTATTTCTTAGTGAGGAGTTTCAGTTTTTGCCTTAATTTCAGAAATGACAACTTTACATTACGTTGCTGGACACAATAAAAGAAGCACCTGCTCCGGGCTGCTAGGAACAATTAAGAGTTTTTTTTCTCACGGTTAGTCTGCCAGATAACAGAACAAGGAACTTTGATCTCAGGACTCTGGATTTTGGTCATAATCTTGCCGGCCGAAGTAAAACCCCCGATACGAACTTCTGAATATCTGACCTAACTCTATCAGATTAATTATAAATCTGGAGACGAATTAAACATTTTTCAATTATCATTCATTCCGGAAAGGTGGAATTACGAAGGATTCAACGCTTGAGCATTTTCATTTTCTGTGAACATTTAGAACTTCCCGACACTGGGGGCAGGTCTATCTTATCGTTTAAAATATTAAATACTGTTATTCATGGGAAAATAGTTATACAAATTTAACAACAAATTAAAATGTATGGAATTGAATGAAGAGTTTTAATCTTAGGCTTGTTAGAAGAAACAAATTTCAAAAAGCAATACGCCCTAAATCCATTCCCTTTTAGTTTTGAAAAAGTTCTTCAATTTTATTGAACACACTTTTTCCCCTCAAAGCTGTTCTTTACAAATGAGCTTGAAGCTCGATTTGAAAAGCTGCATCGCAAAGCGTCAATAGATTATTTGTTCTGTTGGTCGGCTTGTATTATGAGTTGTTTGAAAAAGCTTGGCGATACTATGGAAGAACGAACCATACTCTATTCCTGGCGAAGAAGAGAGTCCACACAAAAATAAGCACTTATACCTTTTAATCTAATGTTTCATTATTCATAACAAACGAATTCCCCTTGTCGCGGCCGTCTGATAATTATTACAGAATTACACATCACCCTTAAAACATGATTAAAGGCTTCCTCTGCCTGACGCCTAGACCTTTGAATCAAATGCTAAATTCTGTCCAAAGACGATTTCATATTTATACAATAGAAATGTATATTTGAGGACATTGTCCCAGAAACGACACAGAGAAATTGGTTGGAAAGAACCTCCTATACCTTGTATAGAAAAGAACCTTATACCTTGGTCTACATTGTTTCCTCTGATAGGCTTTGTCTTTTCTTTTTCTTTTTTTTTTTTACCTCTAAAAGTTGAAAATTGGTAATCGAAGCAGTTGCGGCTTAACTGGAAGTAAGGTCTTGCTATTTCGTATACTTTCTTGTCAAAATTTCAAAGTTTTAACGAACATACTGGAAGGAGTAACCCGTGGTGGTGCAAGAAAATAAAAATTATAAGAATTCATATCTGACACGCCCATTTCATCTTAATTTCAGTTCTTCCGAAGGTTGAGCCCGAGAGATATAAGCCCCTTTGCTTTATATAAGTTCGGGATGTTTCATCTGCCTTAATACAAGACCGAGGCTTTGGAAGAATCTGTTCATTGCAAATTAAGCCCCCCTTTAAGAGCTGAAATTTCATTTCGTGATATGAAGGCGTAACTGCTTTAATAGGAATTCCACTAAACATGGGAAAACCATTCAGTCCTATATGAAAAAACGGTTCAACAAATACGTATTTTGAACTATTTTTATATCTTTTATTTGCTAAAATCTTGTAGATTTACTATAATCAATTCCGGACTTGTACATTCGATGGCAGTGATTTCTGAAGTAAACAAATGATATAGCATGTGATTCCAATTTCGTGAGTGCGGCTACCCGAAATTTGACAGCACTATATCAGGCGATTGGTTTCCTACGCCGGTATATATCCGACCTCCCTCATCAATCATCGTGTAATATCCCAGGGAGCCACGCTGCAACAGAAAGACTGTATATAGAAGGATAAAGCCCAGCCTTTTAAAACTAGCTAATTCCCTCCACATAAAAACCGGGGTGCACAGAAAGACGAAATCTAATTTGTTATCAATCGAAATCAGTTAAACACTTGCTGGTATATGTTCAAGACTGGTCTCTGGTGACAAAAAGCAAATATTTTCGCGTGTCTAGTGTTTGGAATACAGAAGAATACACACATTGAAGATTGAGATGTATATAGAAGTAGATAAACGCTTTAAACATTTTTATAACATTCTAGACTCGCAGTTCATATTGAAACAATCTTTAGATAAATTTGCTATTTGTGATAAAAAGTATTTTATTGATTTAAGCCTATCTATTGTTAGTTCTTCAATTACGGCAGAGAATACGGCACACGAACGGCGTACTGGGCGGGGACAGAAATTTCTAAATCTATTACAACCGACTAGGGAAAGGGAAATGGATTTGCATTGTTTCAGTTTCAAATTGATTAAACCACTTATAAATTCTTATTGAAATAAAACACAACCTGCTTTAGAATATTACTATTAATATTTTATGAATCCAGCGATGCTAGCCGGCTTTCACCGCGTAACAGGAGGGCGTGGAAACAGCGAACGATTTATAAAAGCCACCAGACTAAAGAATTCAATCTAGAATTTCATGGATTACATTTTC